TATTGTATATAATGTGAAGACATTTACATTTCATCAAACTAACATACAGTGTAAAAGTCTAAAAGTCTTCAGAAACATTGATGCTTTTTACAGATGTTCTGAAAAGCAAATAATTCCTATCAATTGATACCAGAGGAAATGGTACTGTATATGTATCTACTGTAGTATGATAGAAAATATAAAAAATTAAATTGTTTTTATGATGTTAAAGTATTATGTTAAATGTCTGAATAAAATTTGCCATCCTTTTTGGAGTGAAGCAATAATCACTTCCTGAATGGAATGTATAGCTAAACCTGTGAAGCTAAACTGTACATTTACTGTATATTAAAGAACTTTAACTTAGTGATGGGAGCAGAAAGTTAACTTTTTTCCTGCATGACCTTCACAGTGCTAAAATGATGCAGTCTTTATGCAATGGCGATGAAGCAGCAGGTATTGAAAATAAGAGATTATGAAAAAAATTGCCTCTTCCATTCTGCTGTGATTGACACTGAATGTACTGTAGTTTCTTTTCACCATCAGCTACTTGTTTGTAAGAGCCCCATTAAGAAAGCAGTGGTCCGTTATTGCAAGAAGGCCTCCTTGCTGGATAATACCTTTGAAAAACTGTTTGATGAGCTTTAGATATAGATTAGACTGGATTTGGGATGTTTAGATGTTTTTGTATAGGATGTCATTATTTTCTCCAGTAGAGATTAAATCTGTATTTTGGTGCCCTCTGCATAGAACAATGTTCCGTGTTCCATAGTGTAGTCCTATGCATATGTCCTATGGCAGTAGAATGGTTATGAGGCCTAATGTCAAATATTTTATAAACAGACTCTGTTTTTGAAATATGTCCATGGGGCGAAAGTTTGTAGAGACGACATAAACATCTCAACTGCAACACATAAAACAAAAATACCTTAAAATGAATATTAAAATCACTTTGAAACTGAAAACACAAAGAATTGATTATTTTTAAAATACTTTCTGGAGGAAAAATGTTAATGTTCAGGTAACACCACCAGGCTAAGATACCTCATTGTGATGCTATGATGTTAAACAATCTCAGTCTCTCTTCTACAGACTGGGGGTGTAATCTCAGCTACAGTACATGACAGCCACGAACCCTTTTGTTCTAGCTCAGGCTCTTAATTAACTTAATTGCTTAATTGATCTAATTATGGTTCAACTGTATATTTTATCACTGTCTTTTAAAAATACTCATTCAAATCCTGCACTGTATTCGAGGTACAGAAGTTATTTGCAATGAAAAGACATTTCATTGCCAGCAACTACTGCTGCACGCTGTATTGTTGTGCATTTGATAAATAAACTTTGATTTGATTTAACTTTATCTATTCTGGGTAATATGTGTTAAATTAAATAAATAATAGTATCAGGGGGATTTGGTTTAATTACTCTAAAAGTAATTGGGGGGCTTTAGTTTAATTATAGTAATAGTAACTGAGAGCTTGGGTTTAATGAAATCCAGAACATGCTGTTGCTCCCTGAAAACTGAGCTCAACACCGTTGCTGCTGTTGTTTTAGACAATATCTTGGGCTATTGGCTTCTACTTCTGTTAAATGTGAAATCTGTTTACATAAAATGATAGTGGTAAATTTTATTATCATTTGCATAAAATGATTTTGACATAAAGTGATAAACTTGTGGTCACCAGTTTTGTTTTATTTTGAAACCGTAGATACTACATTGCTGAGTATTAGTGCATTTTTAAGTAAACCAGAAAATGTAGTGAGTTAAGTGTATTTTTTTCTTTATTAAGCAAATGTACCAGCACATCATAAAAACACAATAAACACCAGGCAGGGAATCACACAGTATTTCAATCATGCTTTCTGAACTGTGAATCTGAATCATGTTAATTTTGAACCAAAAATCTCACCTTGTTCGGCATTATAAAAATTATGTAATTTCTATCCAGTTATTTGCCCAATATTTTCCCATATATTATGAACTACACTGCTGATTTTACACCCAGTAAAGTGTACCTCTAGTTGTGTGCATTCACTGATAATTAATTCAGTCAATTATTTTCTCATGTTCTTCAGAAGCTAGTTATTTTCTGTAAAAATATATCACTAAATTGTTTTCAAAACCTGCTATGTTTCAAATTAAGTATAATGGCATTTTTAAGAATATTGTAAATATTTAGAATATACCTGTATATTATATTGAAATATAATATATACAGTATAAAATACTGAAAACTGTTTTGACATGGAAAATACAGTACAGTCACATTTAGGTCACCCCATTTTAAAAAAGATATTGCAGCTCTGGAATACGGCACGTCAGGAGTAATGCAAATAAAGACCTACAATTAAATGGAACACTGGTATTACACTAAAATAATTATGCACAGTACATGTTATGATACAGTAAATGCAATACCTTGACACCACACACTCAGCATGTCCTCCACATAAACACTAAACGCTATGGTATTGCTGGCACGATAAAACACAGTTCTCACCCCATTTGCCTTTTTAATACCACCTACTAGTGCTGCAAACATTCCTGTGAAGATTATTTCCCTGATGAGAACATTCAGATGTGTTTTCTTTTCAAAGACACTCGTTCATCTGTGCAGTTTGACAAGTGTGTTTAGTACATTTCCCCTCCAATATTCCTGCCTAGCCTCACAAAGGTTTTCATCCAAAAAAACAGCTTCTGTTCAGTGTTAATAAGTGTGAGCAGCTCATTAACACACTCCGTGCCAAGTACCAAGGATGCACAGAACATCAAAATAAAACCCCTGCCCTTCATTATGAATATTTGACTAACATTGCATCAGAGACTACATAAACTCCCTTTCTTCTGCTGAATTTCAGAGTATTATTATTTCTGTACACAACCTGGAGGATTACTGATCTGGAAGATTGTGTTTAGAAGAGTCTTGTGGAGTAATACACACATACACACATGTATTATTTCATCTGTATTTTTTATCCTATCAACTGAGCTCAAGATACTGTATGCTTATCCTGTTCTGATAACATTGTCAGCATCTTCACCTTTACAGCACCTAATCTAAACTCTTTGCATGTGAGGTTTTCCAGGATACAAAGGCCTGAATTCAAGATTCACTTTGCTGTACTCTTCAGTGCCCCACTAAAAAGGTTAGTGTTATAAAATGGATTAAAAACTCAACTTTTAATTTAATAACCAGATAAGTAAAAACCAAAAACAAGTAAAATATTAACAGTGCTGTCTTGTTTTGATGAAATCAGAGCTCAACCCTACAGAACAATCTTAGGTTACAACACACTTCTGACAGTGGTTTTCCATTGGGTAAAAGAAAGAAGCAACAGTCTGTCACATATCAAACAGAAAGTTGCTATAAGCCACTGGGTTAGAAATTGCAATTGGTGTATGAGTCAAAGTTCTGATTTCATCTGGCCTAGCAATGTATTGATACTGAATAAAAGCAGAGTCCCTCCCGTAATTTGAATTAAGATACATCCTGCATTGAGAATTTGGTAATCCTTGGAATTAGTGCGCGATCTGAAAAGACAGTAAGTGGTGCTTTTCATATTTTGTTATGTAGTTGAAAGTAAGAAAAATAAAACATCAGCTCAAAAAACTGATAAACAGTGAGAGATCTAATGTCACTCTTAAGTTCCTAGCTGCTAAACTATGGCAGTCTATAAATTATCGTGTCAGTCCTTGCTTGAAAAATATGCTTCCAATTAAAAACTGCTATTAGACCTTCCAAAATGTAATACAAAATACCCTTACTGGCAGTAGAAAATAATGTTAAGGCCTGTGTATCATCTGCTTACATGTGATATAATTGGCCATGTTTGTACCGTCACAGGTCACAGATGAAAAACAGAAATAGATTTAACGTGATCCCTGTGGGACACAAACACCAAAGTGAACACAAGGAGAAAGAGGATTCACTCAAAGACAATAAATTGTGTGTATGACACATCTGACAAGAATAATTTGAGTGTTGAGCTATAAATGGTAATACATTGGTGCAGAAGTTTCTACGGTTTATTTTATAATCAACCATATCAACATGTCAGACACAAGTCTTAAAAGATTGGTACCTAAGATAAAAATAGTGTGTTACATAGTATCATAAACAAACTCTAATATTATGAACCTGTCGCATAATTAATCGTTTTGGTGTACTAATCTCTGAATTAATTTATATTAATATGGAAATAAAGCCCCTAGCATGATTTTATTGATTTTTAAAAAAGCAGTAATTTAGCTTGAATCTTAAACAATGTACAAAGTATGCCAACCTAAAATGGAACAGGGAAATCTTCAGATGCCAGAACTGTTCACTGGACATATTTCAAATACTGGTATGGACTTATTGCATCTGACAAAGTCTTTCAGCAAGCCTTACTTCATACCTTTGAGGCATAGGGATGAATTTACTGCATCACAGTTTCCTGTGCCTTTTATTAGCAGTACATCTGCTCCAGATAATCTCTTCAGGGAATGCTAGATGACATATCTTAAAATGCATGGGAGACCTAATACTTCTTTCTATAGAAGGATTATTTTATTTTACATAGTCTTGCTTCAAATACAGTTATTTATAAAGCAAATCAAGCACTCTATTTTGACAGATGGTGGAATGCTTACACACTTAGAGAAGAATACTTAATCTCGTCATTGCTTGCTGAACAGTTTTAGAGAACAGTTCTCAATCGTGTCAAATTTACTGGACATTATTATGTGCAAAACAATAGTCAATCTTGCCATTGTTGACTGGCCATGGGATGTTGATCCCATTATACTGTACATAGCCCAAGTACCTTTTCCTTCTAAGTCTTTCAGAGCCTTAATTTGGCTTGATTGCGTGAAAAGCAATGCTATCCACATCTAAATGTTTCATGCGCGCACCGGCGTGGTCTGATTTTTCCTAAGCAGGTCTCTGGTTTCGAGGCACATGAGTGAGTTCACTTCATTGCAAACAGCACTGAGAGATAACAGCAAGACTCTACAGAGCAACCTAAAAAGAACCAAATATGAAAATGCGCACGGCTACAGGTTTACAAACGCAAGAACTTCGGCTCTCTGTTTCCTAGAGACATCCCCAGGACTTTAAACCCTATCTGTGTTTGAGGGCGGCGATGTCTTTATGCAAATACAGCCCCGAGCCTGATAGGCCGGGCTGTGCATGCAGTTGCTGCGCTTGGGCTCCCAGTGGTATTGTGTTACGATTGAAGACCGGAGAAAGAGAGAGAGAGAGGCAACGCGTTCTGTTGTAATTTAATTTTTGGTGCTGCGAGTGAGACCCTCGTGTATCTTTGTGATGTGAAGGGAAGCGTCCTGTCAGCTCTCGTCCTTTGGTAGCAGGCAGGCGAGGTGCCTATGACAATGGAAATTAAAGATTCGGGCAGCGTAATTTTGACAGCTTACCACTCTTACTCGCCATCAAGGATAGCGCTGATGGACCAAAGCTATGCGTCGCAGCTCTCTCCGAGCCCAGGACGTTCTCCTCTGAGCAGGTAAATTGTGCTTGTGGAATATACATGCATCTTTGTAATGGTTACTTCTTAAATATGCTGTAAAACACTTCCCCACCCTCAGACTTGGCTGTCATATTCCTACTTGCCCGTGCCGGTTGCGTCAAACCAAAGTTTGTGGACACCAGCAAAGTGTTTAAAACTCTTAGATCGCCTATAAATCCGCAGTACCTGATGAAAAGGTACAGTAGATGCAAGCAGCCCCGAATAAACCGCTTTGCTTTGAATGTTAAGCACGGTGCTTTCGTTTCTTTTATTGTTACGATACTTTTTTCCCCTAATTGTTAACCCGAAACCGCACTTACAGTGTGTATCTTTTACTTTGTTTACTTTGTGTGTTTAGCAAACAACGATGTGTTTTAACAATGGAGTTCTTCAAGTATACTGTAGCTGCGATTTAGTTCTTACAGTATTTTCAGCTGATGACCTCCACTAATTACAAGTCACTTATACTGTACGTCTTCGGTGCCCCGAAAGTTAAATGTTAGATTAACTTTTGTCTTATTTAATAACTTACTGCAACTATTATAGTAAAATACAATCATTTTGAAAGAAATAATTTGATGCAGTGATTTCGACATTTGCCATAACAGTGGCACTCTGTTATCTGAGACTTCAAAACAATTGACATGCTCGGCCATTGGAGTGCGTTCTGTTGTACAGGATGGTTTGGGTTTCTGGCGTTTGTGTGCTTGAAACATAATTGTATTGAAAATGCAGAATGAATGACCTTGCTGTTCCTTCACCCAGACAGTGCAAACCCTTAACCTCTCTGACAATTGGCTTGCAAAAAAATACTGTGGTTGATGAATGACTGTACCATGTGGTCTCTTCAGATGTGTTCTTGTGTTTACACAGCAGCCTTTGAGCGTTCTGAGCTCTGTAGTAGACTCTTAAGGCGTTTAAGGGAATATTTCAAAATTATTTTACAACCAATTGTCATCCATGTGAGTAAAGTATCTCTGTGAATATTTTGTCACTTTTTATTTTTGGAAAGAAAAACAAAATCTTATCAGTGTACACAGATGCAGATTTCACATTGTCTCATTTCATATTCTGCCTTTCACATGTTTAAGCGAATGTACTATTAAAAAACATCTCAGGAATGCATGGAAGGTTGTCTATGAGAGGTGGCTAGCAGCTAATGGATCAGATGATCTCTTCCATCCAGGACTTCCACAAACCTTGTGTTTAAAAACGTCTCTCCACTAGTCTTAGTTTTAAGTGCATTTTCTGGAGCTTCCACTTGTGTCACCCTTTTCATGTTGCACTGTTGTTTAAAAAAAATACTGTATAATACTTAAGTTTATAAGCTCAAAACTGAAATGATTAGGTTCTTATTTCCTGTTGGTATAGCACATTTCATTGAGTTTAGGTTCCATCTGGCCACTCTTCTCTGAACTGATTTCAGAGCAGGCAGTAATGTTTTTTTTTTTTAAGGTAGTGATAAATATTAATATACAGATTTCAAAACTAGACTTTGCAAGTGGATTATACACAGTTTGAAATGAGGCTTTAACATAATGCTGTCCCGTTATTTAAATTCTGAATTTTAACTCTATATTCTGATTCTGTTGGCCTTGCTTCCCCACAGTGTGTAGTATTAGGAAAATGATGTGTCAACATAAACCCAGCCAAACCAAACTATAAACCTACAGTACAGTAAGCCTTTTTCACGCATATCTTATTCAAGCATAGTTTTTCCCATTTTATAGTTTTGGTTTATGGTTTAACTGCATACATGCAACATTCTGTTTACGACAAATGTCATCTGTCAGGTGTTTGTAAACCCTTGAATTTAATCACTTTAATTTTGCCAATCCTTACATTTGAGCATTTGCAAACTTAGTTTATTAAATATGCCAGAAATATCATATATATTTCATATAAGCAGTACATAAAATGGTACTACATTTAGACATTAGTCAAAACCTGGTGTTCTTTTAGTTTGTGTTTTTCTTTTCATTTTGTACTGTGTAGCTCAGCCCATATCACAGGCAAAATATTGACTAACATTCATATACAGACTTACAGAATGTGTATCGATCTCTGTGGCTTTAGAGGTTCCTAAAATATCCTTCTAAATTAAAATGCATTTCTTAAGGTGTCAACGTGGGAAGGAAAAAGCCTTTGAACTTTTATTGCCGAATACTGTTAATAAGTGGAATATGAAATAAGAACACATTTTTTATTTTGTTTGTTTTTGTCACAAAAAATGAACGTGTCGATAGTGCAGAGTTAAACTGAACCAACTTATGAATCTCACTAAATATCAAGCCTTCCCTCTCACAAGCCATAGCATGCATTTAGAGCCTCTATTCTAGATTTTAATTCCTAGCGTCCTGCTAATTTTCTTCAGTTGCTGTATAAGCCTGTATATGCTGTGTATCAAAGGTAAGGAAAGTATTAGAATAGAGCTAGAATGAGGGTGGTGGGTGATGTGTTTAGACTGTTATTTTTTTTTACAACAGTTGAAATCCGAGGAGGTTTCTCTGTTTTTTTTTCATCAAGTGCCCCTGGTGGAGTCCCCCTGGTGTCCTTCCATGCACAACGGATGAAAAACATCTGGCCCCCAGCCCTTTGATCACTTTTGTTTTTGCTTAGAGCCTGCCATTTTGGACAGTTGCCTTGTCCATTATCTGCCATTAGTCACAGGTTGAAGTTACCCACAAAATGTCAGGGTCAGTCAGAGCGAGAGTTGGGTGAAAGCGTCTTGTGTGGTTTTTGGAATGCTGGCTAAATGAGGAGTAATTGATGCCCGCTTTGAATATTTAGAATTTGGAGGACATATGTGGGAGTATTGTTGTTGAATTAAAAGAAGTTGTTGAGATTTTCTGCATTTTTTGCGTCTGTGTCTAATGATAATTAGAGTAAACTATTTTACATTTCCGCAGTAATGCATAGTTGTTGAAAGCTGTATATCAAACAGAATATACTATGACTTTATGCTCTTTTATTACAGGGAGTCTTCTTGCAAATTGAATCACTGAGGAGTAAATTCTGTATGCTTTGTTTTCCTATGAAAACAGTATTTTGTTTAATTTCATGGAGTTTCCCCCTCATCGTGGGTCACGTTTAGGATGAATACCTCTAAACGGATCTTGGGTGGTCAGTGAAGAGATGTTTTGACTAAACTCACAAGGTCAGTGGCACACTGCACATTTCTCTAGTGAGGACACACGAGCTTACAACATATTCTAACAAGGTCATCATCACATAACAGTTGTTATCATTTCAATACAACATTAACATATTTAAGAATAATTCTTGGTCAAAATACCCTCATAAGTCATAATCAGAATGTGTTGACCTGTGTGTTCCTTTATCTCTGTAAGGAAGATCAGATCTGTCATATTCTTAAAAAATCACTAAAATAACCTGAGCTTTACTGTCCAAGTGTAAAATCGAATACTACACTCTTATTTTCTTGTTATCATTCTTGTGTGTTTTGTTCACTTGAGCTGAGTTTTTAAAAAAGAACATATGAATGTTCACATACGAGCGGAGGCCATCTGGCCCATGTGACCTATTTGGGAGTTAGTAATTACTGTACGTGACTTATGGATTCGATCTAGCCATTGTTTTTGAAAGAAACCAGCACACCGGTTTCAACCACATGGCTTGGGTATCTTGTTCCAGACTCTCACAACCCTTTGGGTAAAGATGTGCCTCCTGTTCACAGTTTTAAATTCAGTCCTACACTGGAGTTTTGGAAGAGTTACAGTACATCAGTGGCTTCTGAATAACCTCTTTGGTTTTTAAGTACAGTTGGTAAGATACCGTGGGGCTCCTGGGGATTTATTCATTTGGAGTAATTCTAGTACCTGAAATACTTCCACCTGTTCTATTGCTGGTCCAACACAGAACGTTCTCCTTCTGCAGCTGGAGACATGTTGTGGACTTCTTCCTTAGTGAACTGAGTTAAATACTAATATAGCTCTTATGCCATTTCCCTTTCATTTTCTAAAAGTCTCATGTTTTTCAGATCTATTTTTACTTCATCCTTGGTGCTTTTTTATGTTGTTGTAGTTATTATTTTTGGGTTCTGCATTAAAATAAAACTTAATGGTTCATTTATTTACTTGTAAGTTGTTAGTTTTTTTCTAAAACACACACAGATTGTCTGAAATGAAGTTGCCAGTCATCACAAAACATCAAGAATTACAAATATGAGCGAGTATAAAGTCAGGTAATTAACTTTCTTTTCTTGTTCGACAGAGGGCATATTGCTAGGGAGGAAAGAGTGGGAAAAAAAACTTAAAAACATGTTTTCAATAGCATTATAATTAGACTGTAAAAATAATCCACCTCTCCCAATATCTCTCAAAGATTCCTCCTGGAGTCTTGGCTGATATTAGTTTCCCATCCCATAAATCTCTGTGACATTCACAGTCCAGTTTTTTTTGGTTGGGAGCACTCTTTGGAAACTGTTATGTGTTATAGCTTTCTAGTTTCTCTTGGCCATTCTGATGTCCTTTATTTTTCCTGTGCTTGTGATGCTTTGTACTCTTTTTATCTAAGGGCAGGCGAGGCTGCTACGCACTGCATTTTAACGTCTTGCCCTGTGTCACTGTGCACTCGTGGGGGCAGAGACAGGGGTGAGAGTGCTATGAGCAGCATTAAAACAGGGGATGTTTTTTTTGGAGGAGATCAAATACTGTGGCCAACCGTTTAAACGTGACCTCATGGGGAAACCCAGCACATGACTTCAAGCAGCATGAATGCTCCTGTGATGGCTTTAGATGTTTTTAGATTCCTTCATCATTGAGCTTGAGAATGCAGTAAAACGAACAGCAACCTTCAGTTTGTACCCAGTGTAATTACCCATAAGGAAGACATTGTATTTATTAAAATCATATGCAAAGAATTTTATGAAACGTTTGCAATAAAGTTGTTGGTTTCTTTCTTCAGACTTAAAAGTCTAGTCAATAAAAGTTGCCCCAACGTGCCTTTGCTCCTTACAGGAGCATCGGTTACGCAAT